CAGGGATTCATAATTCTCTATCTGGCAGGCAGAGATGTTCTTCCATGTTATCATTGTTGAGTTCTGGGGCTGATTTTCTTTATGTGGTGTGTCCTCCCCAACAGGGCTTGCTTGGTTATTTGTATTTTTCCTTCTCGCTCTTTTTTTGGTTCCTGCTATAACCTGTGGCCTGGACACTGTGTTACTAGTACTGGAGGGCATCTCTTTGGCGGGGGGCTCCACTGGAACACCAGGGTGTGGTGTCCAGACCAAGGTCTGCACAGTCACAGCAGACTTCACAAGGATAGTGACGCTGGGGATGGATTGATGGACACAATCCCTGAACAACACTGAGTCTGTGCATGCTGCTGGTCTCTTTCTCTACATGCCCATCTTGACCGTAGTTTTGGTGGCCTGCCCCAGCCTTTGCTCGGTTCTGGAAGGGGGACAAAAGGTTGTTGTCCTCCAACAGCCATGCAGACGGGCCCGAGTTTTCCTTCTCACTTTGTTGCAAGCCCTCCTTCTGTCTTTGCCAGTTCCAGAAGGGGATTGTGGGGCTACAGTAAGTTTCTCTACTTCACCTGATAGGTGTTTCAACCAGTGCAGGACCAAAATACAACTGCAGCTTCTTCACTTGCCTCTCTGCTCCATGAGCCTCCTCCACGTCTCCTTCTGGCTCTGTCTGTCTTCCATCTTCCCCAGACGCCTCTTCAGGTTTTCCCCGTTTTTATTTTTATTCAGATTTTAGCACAATTTTTCTTCACATTGTTCCGCACCCCACCCCTCATTAATGATGTGCTATTGTTTTACCTCTTTGTGAATGTTCCCTCAGTATAGGATTTATCCACGTAGGTGAGGCTACATGGCTCTCCCACCAGCAAAGCACCCATAGTCCTCCAACACAGTAGATTGTGACCTTCCATTCTTTTTTTTTTTTTAAGATTTGTTTATTTATTTATTTATACAAGCACTGGGTACACACAGAAGCGCAGGAGGGTGAGAGAATTCACCAGAGCCAGAGCGGGGAGCAGAGCAGGCAGAAGGACCGAAGTACACTGCTGAGGGGAGCAGCGGGCAGCAGGAGAGGTCTGCGCGCCGGCGGGACCCTCCTCCGGTGGCCGGGGAGCAGCCGGGGATCGAACCAGCGCTGCAGAGGCTGCGGGCAGCTTCGCAACCCAGTGCTCAACCGCTGTGCCACGGGGGAGGCCCAACCTTCCATTCTTAAACCTCTTTGGTTCCCTCCCTTTCGCCTCTCCCGTCTTGGAGGTATCAGATCCATGAGCAGATTGCAATTTGTCTTTGATTGACTGTTACACATACAAGTGAGAGCATCTGTTGTTATCTTCTTCTTCTGTTGTATTGCATTTAGCATAATCCCTTGCAAACATCCATGTTGCTGCAAATGGCTTGAGTTCCTATTTCTTGGCCTCCAAATAATACTTCTTGAGTCTGTATACACCACATTGTCTTGGAATTTAAAAATGACTTTGGGCCTTGAGTTTGTCTCTCTCTCTCTTGGCTCTTGTAAACTGTGTTGCAGTAAACACAGGAGTGAGGGTTTCTTTCTGAATTGCCACTTCTGTGTTCCTTGGGTAGCTATCTAGGCATGGATCCTAGGGCAAGACTCATTTTTCTCTTCTGAGAATCTCCACATTGCTTTCTATAGGGACTGAAACCATCTACATTTCCACCAATGTTTTAAGTGTGCTTATTTTTCTCCATACACTTGCCAGCCCTCCTTATTTCTGGTTATTGTTTGCTTTGTTGTTTGTTTTTGTACATTGTTTTCAATGTGCTAATTGTTGTACATTGTTTTCAATGTAAAGGTGTAGATGGAATTTCATTGTGGTATTGATTTGAATGTCCCTGATGATATGTGCCCATTTAGTTCTTCTGTCCATTTTTTGATGGGGTTGTTTGTATGCTTCTTGCTGAGTTTTATGAGTTTTTCATAGATATTCACTATCAGTCCCTTGTCATATGTAAGGTGTGAAAATATTTTCTCCAGTTCATTAGGTGTCCCTTCATTATGGTTACTGTCTTCTGTGCTGTAGAGCACCTTCTCAGTTTGGTCTAGTCCCCATTGTTTATGTTTTCCTTCGATTTCCTTGCTGCTCAGAAAGGTAGTTCTGAAGTTTCACGAGTGTTTTGCATGTATTTTCTTCTCTGTATTTCATGCTTTCTGGTCTTACTCCATGCTCTTTTCCCGCCTTTAATTGATTTTCCTATATGGGGTGAGACGGTGGCCTAATTGTATTTTTTGTGTGGCAGTCCATTTTGCAAGCACCATTTATTGACGTTTTGGAGTGCAGCAACAACAGGGATTACTTGCAAGGGGGGAATTGGGGAAAAAAGAGTTTCTAAAACCACAAATGGTTAACTATCTTACCCCTGAGAGTATCTCCAGCATTCAGTAGCCCATGCAAAGCCCCCTCTAGGAGATGTGAAGCAGACAGACTGAGGCAGACAGTCTTTTAGAAGTGATGCAATTCTCTCAGAGGCACTGGTCACTGTGCCATCTGCAGGCACTGTGAAAAACAGAGACAGAGAGGCAGAAGTAGTGGTCCAATAGTCAATTAGTGATCAGGAGTGAATATCAGAGTGAAGGTCTCACTGAGCTTCTCTGCAGCAAAGTTCTCTATCAATAAATGTACGTGAAGCAGTGTTCTCAGTGGGTGAATCTGAAGCAGATGGCTCCATCAATGATTAAGTGAAGGTCTCAATGAACAAAGGCCTGGATCTGGACAAATATGGATGTGTGTGCTGCCCTACGTATGTCCTCTTCAGGTCGCCTGTCTTTCAACCCTGACTGACCCATTTTCAAAACTGGCACCATTTACAAGAGTTGATAGGCAGCACAGCAACCTGAGGCCTGACCCATCCATTTACCAGGCCCTGAGGTTCTCAAAACCTGAATGGTGCCAGCCAGGAGCAAGCCTAACAGCTCATATCAAAACTGGGTCAGTATCCGAAGCAAAACCCCAGTTGTATCTCAAATTCACATCTTGGTGGCTACAGAAGTCTCACACTAACCCTCTTTCTGGGAAGGTGGGGTAAGGGGCCATAGAAGGTGCAGTGGAGTCAGGCACTCTCCTCTCACTCTCCTCTCACAGACACATCTTACTCGGTTGAGTGTTTGCCAGTCACAGAGAGAAAGTGAATTTGTACCAAGAGGAGTCTCCAAAGTCACAGTGTTTGCCCCAAAGAAATAACAGACCTCGGAATGCTTCTCCATATTGTTCCCCCACAGCCACTGCTAAGCTGAGAAAAAGGACCTGCTATTTGTGTCCTGAAATGTTGGCAAAAAGCAAACCAGATAGATTTTAACTGTAGGCTTTGGCTACATTGCTGGGAAGTAAAAAGCAGACAGTCTGCATGATAATGGGGCTTCAACATTTGGTCTCTCATACGCTGGGTATTCATTGTTCCTTAGACAACCCTGCTAACAGCTGGGAATGGTTGCGCACAAAAAGAGCCAGGTAACTGCACAACTCAGAGGGCTCCATAGAAAGTGGTGCAAGCAGTGGCTTTCCTCCCACCCAGGGCAGCCCGTGACTCTTCTCTGAATTGAGATACCCATTTTTCATAGCCCTAGTTCACGTTTACCAGTGGCAAGCTGGTTCCTCAAGATGCTGGTGCAGGTGAAATCAGAACTAGGCTTTTGGACCCATTCTTCACTCCCAGATGTTGCACCAGCTGAGAGCACAGCCATCCTCCTGGCTAGAGGCTAATGCCCAGTGGAGTATTTCCAATAATTTTTAGACTTTCAAAAGAACATCTATTTCATGAAGTAAGTGTTGAGAATGGAGTGGAAATTGTCTCCCACAGTCAGGTGGTTGCTGGAAAATCAAGCACCTGTGTGTCCTGTAGCCTACTGTCCCTCACTCTGAATTGATTTCTATATATGGGTGAGGTAGTGGCCTAGTTTTATTTTGTGTGTGTGGCAGTCTGTTTTGCAAGACCATTTGTTGGAGATGCTCTACTTGTCCCATTGTTTACATAGCACATTTTTGTCATAGATCAGATGACCCATATATGTGTTGTGTTGGTTTGTGTGTTTTCTTTTTCTGGGCTCTGAATTCTATTCCATTGTTCTGTGTGTCTGTTCTTGTTCCAAATCATGCTGTTACAATTATTATGGCCTTATAGTGTGTGTTGAAGTCTGGAGTTCGGTAACACAAATTCCCCCTATTTTATCTCAGGAGAAATTTGTGTCTTTGTGTTTTCATGTGAGTTTCAGTAATACTTCTTCCATTGTATGGGAGAATGCCATTGAGATTTTTACTGGATTGCTGTGAAAGTATCAATTATTTTGGGTTGCATGTCCATTTTGACAATGATGATATTTCTATCCATGAGTAGTTACTCTCATTCCATTGATTTCTGTCTGTTCTGTTTCTTTTAATAATACTATCATTTCTTGTACAGGTTCAAATTTGTCTTTCTTAGGTTTCTTCTCAGGTATTTCATTGTTTTCTGGGTGTGACATTGTAAAAGTCATCGCTTTCTAAATTTCTTCTTATTCTGATTCATATAGGAATGCGACTGATTTTTTTTGTGTGTGTTTCTTTTCTGCAGTAGTGAATAACTGTCTTCACCCACCACTGTTAAACTTAGGATGAATTTTCTGCATTGTCTTATCTGTTTCAGTATACACCAGTCTCTGATATGCAAAGGAACAAGTGTCTGTCTTAGTTAGCTTCAGGACCCTTTCTCATGCATTGGTAACATGGTTCACTGCACCAGGAATTGCAGGCAGAAGCGAGCAGAGCCTGTATTTTCCAGCTCTGTTTCCTGTGAACTGATCTTTCTGTTTCATTTTTCAGGACCTAATGGGATCTGGCATATCTGCCCTGCTTGCTGAGGCCAGTCATCTCTCTCCTCTCTCTGTCTCTGTGTCTCGCTCTCTCACTAGTCATTGTAGAGGTTAAGAATTGATATTTAATTGTGCTTTTGGTTTAAATTTTCTTGTTTCCTCATAGCCAGATATAAACAGCACTCTACCCAACAATATAATGCACATTCTTCTCAAGTATACCTAGAAGATTCTGCATGAAAGATCACATACAAAGACACAAAATAAATCATTTCTAAGAAACAGAACTACTCACAAGTACACAAAGACATTCCCTATGTGATTTTTGGCAGAAATAGCAATGCCATCTGAACCTCAAATGGCCCCAAATAGTTAAAGCAATATTTATTTATTTGTTTGTTTGTTTATTTAAAATTTCGTTTTTATTTTTACATCATTGTTCATTTTTAAACAATATTTGCTTCCCTCACCCCCTCAGAGTTTCCTTCCCCAATGCACCCCTGCACCATCACCTCAGTCCCCTGTGCTCCTCCCTCCCTCCCTCTTATCCCTCTCCCTCCTCCTCCTCCCCTGCAGTGTGTCTCTGATTTATAACTGTCCATTTTTGCTTTGTTGTGTTTTGCACTGTTGTTATTTTTTTACACTGCTGTCTTATTTGGTTCCCCTATATTCCTGCTTTCAGTGAAACCATCCGATATTTTTCTTTTTCCTTCTGGCTTATTTCACTGAACATAATTTCTTCTAGATCCATCCATGTTGCTGAAAATGGCATGAGTTTATCTTTTTTGCAAGATATACAAAAAAATCACACGACTCAACAAAAACAAAATAAACAATCCAGTCAAGAAATGGGCAGAAAATCTTAAAAGACATTTCTCCATGTAAGAGAAGTTTCTTTTTAGCTCTCTGCTCATTTTTTTTTTTTTGCCAGGATTATTTTATTTGTTGTTGTTGAGTCTCATCAGCTCTTTGTAGATTTTTGTGATCAGTCTTTTATCATTAGTGTTGTGTGCAAAATTGTTCTCCCAGTCGGTGGGGTTTCTCTTTGTTTTTGTTATTGTCTCTGTTGCTGTGCAGAAGCTCTTTAATTTGATGTAGTTCCAGCTGTTTATCTTTGTCCTCACTATCATTGCTTTGGGTGATGCGTCTGTAAAGATGTCTTTGTCATCTTTGTCACGTAGTGTCATCTTTGTCATCTTTGTCACGTAGTGTTTCACCTATATTTCCTTCTATGTATTTTATGGTTTCAGGTCTTTCTTATGTCTAGTTCTTTAGTCCTTTTTGAGTTGAATTTGTGTATGGTGTGAGGTAGTGGTCAAGCTTCATTCTTTAAATGGCCAATAGGCATATGAAAAAATGTTCAACATCACTTGTAATCAGGGAAATGTAAATCAAAACTACAATGAGATACCATCTCACACCAGTGAGAATGGCATATATTAAAAAAAACTAGCAACAACAAATGTTGGCGAGGATGTGGAGAAAAAGGAAGTCTCCTGCTGGTGGGAGTGCAAACTGGTCCAACTACTACTGAGAGCTGTGTGGAGATTACTGGACCTACTAAACGTAGAGCTTCCATATGATTCAGCAATTCCACTCCTAGGTATTTACCCAAAGGACACAGATGCATCAATTCCAAAGAGCACCTGCACCCCTATGTTTATAGCAGCACTGTTTACAATAGCTAAGCTTTGGAAACAAACCTAATGCCCAAAAATAGATGACTGGATCAAGAAGATGTGGTACATATACACCATGGAATATTATTCAGCATTCAAAAAAGATAAACACATGCAATTTGCAGCAACATGGATGGAGCTGGAAGGGATCATGCTCAGCGAAATAAGCCAGAAAGAAAAAGAAAAAATACCGGATGATCTCACTCATAGCAGGAATCTAGAAAACTTAAATAAGGGACCAGGAAAATGAATAACTATAAGAAAGTGAAAATCAAAATCAGCAAAAATGTATGAACCAGAGACACTCTATAGGGAGTGGGGAGTAGGGAGGAGAGGGATTGGGGTCAAAATAAGGGGGCTGCAATTGTATGGGGAATATAAAAATAAAATTTATTTAAAAAATCAAACAACTATGAACACGAGACACTCTATGGGGAGTGGGGGCGGGGAAAGGAGGGCTTGGAGCAGAAATAAGGGGGTTGTAATTATATGGGGAATATAAAAATAAAATTCAAATTAAAAAATCGAATAAAAAATTAATTAAATGCATTAAAAAAACAAAAAAAGACATTTCTCCAAAGAGGAAATGCACATGGACAACAGGCATATGAAAAATGTTCAACATCCCTTATAATCAGGGAAATGCAAATGAAAACCACACTGATATACCACCTTACACCAGTGAGAATGGCACATATCAAAAAAAACCCCAGCAACTACTGGATGGTCTCACTCATAGCAGGGATCTACAAAACTTAAATAAGGGACCAAGAAAAAAATAACTATAAGAAAGAAAATAGGGCCTCCCCGGTGGCACAGGGGTTGAGCATTGGGTTGCGAAGCTGCCTGCAGCCTCTGCAGTGCCGGTTCGATCCCTGGCTGCTCCCCGGCCACCGGAGGAGGGTCCCACATGGCGCGCAGACCGCTCCTGCCGCCCGCTGCTCCCCTCAGCAGTGTATTTCGGTCATTCTGCCTGCTCTGCTCCCTGCTCTGGCTCTGGTGAATTCTCTCACCCTCCCACACTTCTGACTCTACCCAGTGTTTGTATAAATAAATTAAAAAAAAATCTTAAAAAAAAAAAAACTTTCTTTAAAAAAAAAAAAAAAGAAACTATCAAAATCAACAAACAACTATGATCCAGAGACAATCTATGGGGTTTGGGGGTTGGGAAAGGAGGTTTTGGGCTCAAAATAAGGGGTTTGTAATTGTATGGGGACTATAAAAATAAAATTTAAATAAAAAAAGCAACAACAAATGTTGGTGAGGATGTGTGAAAAAAGGACTCCCCTGCATTGCTGGTGGGCGTGCAAACTGGTCCAACCACTGTGGAAAGCTGTCTGGAGGGTTCCCAGTCTACTAAAAATGGAGCTACTGTATGATCCGATCTGGCAATTCCACTCCTGGGGATCTACCCAAAGGACACAAAAACATAGATTGAAGAGAACCCTGGACCCCTATGTTTATTGTAGCAGTATTTACAGTAGGTAAAACCTCAAAACAACCCAAATGCCCAAAAATAGATGATTGGATCAAGAAGATGTGGTAAATATATAAACACGATGGAGTACTTTTCAGCAATAAAGCATTTTTTTTAAGATTTATTTATTTATCCATGCAAGAACCAGGGTACAGGCCAGAGGTGTGGGGGGTGAGAGGATTCATCAGAGACAGCTGGGAGCAGTTTGCCTGTTGGCAGACTGACTGTAATATACTGCTGCGGGGACCAGGGGGCGAGATAGGAGAGGTCTGCTCATCATTTGGCTATCTCCCTCGCCAGCTGGGATGGAACCTGCACCACAGAGCCTGTGGCCAGCTTCACAACACTACAATCAACCACATGTGTCACCAGAGAGGCCCAGCAAAAACAATTTTGAGTAACAACAAGAACAAACAGAAAGCATCACGTTTCTTTCTACCAAGTTATATCAGAGGCCTATAGGGATTGAAAGTATAATACAAGCATAAAAGCTGATACGTTCATCTGTGGGACAGAATAGAGAGCCCACATGTGCTTGGTGACTGATCTTCAACAAGGACACCAACAATAGTATTAGGGTAAATGACAATTATTCAATAATTAATTGAATTAATTTTATTAATTTAAATTATTAATAATTCAATTATTAATCAATTAATGGTGATGAGAAAAATGATAACCACATGTGCAGGAATGAAATTAAATCTTTATCTCCATCTTTGTTTCCTAAAACAAAATGTGTTGGAAACATTCTTGACATTTTTCTTGGGAATGGATTAATCTGTTCTTCTTTCTGTTAATATAGGGCTTTTATTTTTCCTACTCCTTTGTAGCATATAGTTAGAGGGAGTTTCAGATTTTTTTAATTGATATCTACTTTATATCTATAAACTTCTCTCAGAATAGCTTTTCCTGAATCCTTTAAGTTTTGTATGCTATGTTTCCATTTTCATTTATTCTAAGGTAATTTCCCTTTTGCTTTTATTTGTATCAGACAAATATATAAACAATGTATTCAATAAATTAATATGATAACTTGGTATAAATGTAACTTTTTTTTCCTTTTTAAATTTCGTGTTTTTTTTTTTTTTTTCCCCTACTGGCTGTTAAGGAGTGTGTTGTTTCATTTCCCTGTCTTCATAAATTTCCCAGTTTTTATTTCTTGTAGGTTCCTAGAATGTGCCCTAAAATGTGGTCTAAACAAGAAGATTGTTCCTCGTGTGCTTGAGAAAAATGTGAAATTTGTTGTTATTTGATGTGATGTCTTGCATATGATTGTAAGGTACACTTGGACTATTTCTGTCAATGCACATACTTATTGATGATTTTTGTCTGTATACCTAGGTCATTGATTAAATATACTGAAGTGTATGGAATATATGATACTACTGTTTTGTTTTTTACTCACTGCCAAGTTAGGATGAAAGGATATTCCTCTAAATATTCTCAGTAACTGAAGTAGTATTAGCTGACACAGTCTTGTGCAGTTAAAATGCAAAGAATCTCTGCCTCAGTACTCCATGATTATCAGACAAATATATTAGTGTTTTGATTTTGAGGGGAGTAAAGCTTTACCAGAGTCGTGGACATCACTATAACAACTACAAAACAGTTAAGGGCAGATGTGTTGAAATCAATATGCGTATCACTTTGTCCAAATCTGAGTGTATTTAGGATAATTTTATATTAATAATAACATACACCTTTTTGTTATATAAGTAACATTTGGCATTCTATTTTAAAATTATGAAGTCTGGTGGTGCAGGTGGTTGAGTGCAGTGCTATGAAGCGGTCCACAGCCTCTGCAGTGCCGATTCGATACCCCTTGCCAGCCTCGGAGCAACCCACATTCTGAGCAGAACTCTCCTGTCTCACCCGCTGCTCCCCTCCGCAGTGTATTCTGCCTGTTCTGTTCCCTACTCTGTCTCTGGTGAATCCTCTCACCCTCCCACACATCTGGACTGTACCCCGGCTCTTGTATAAATAAAATAATTTTAAACAAATAAATAAATAAACAAATAAATACATAAGTCTTGGCTCTCTGATGTCTGACGATGAAGATGGAA